AAAGAGAATGCAAGATGAGCATAGTGGAGGGAGTTGATGAAGTTAGGTGAGAGAAGACTGACGCCCAGATGGACAGGGAGGAAAGTAGGGGCTGACTGTAGCTGTAAGGAATCTGCTTGTGTCACATGACTCAGCATTTACCCTGTTACTCTCAAGAATCTCTGAAATGTGCATATAATAGCAATTATTTTTAGCCTATATATTAAAAGTGATCCTTTCTAGCTGTGACATGTGGCATCCCAGAGGATGAGTGAGGTGTGTATTTGAGGAGGTGAATGGGCACTTGCCTTTCGGGCACAACACCTGCACAGGTAAGGTCTGTGGGCTGGGACAGCTCTCAAGTGAGCATGGGAAAAGGTATCCCATTCAGATGGTTTGAAAAGGAACTTGTTAAAACTAAAGAAATCCTTTAATGAAGACAAAAGTCAGCCCCAGTCTTCACTCTTAGCATAACCAGGAGACTTAGGGTTCCACATCCTGTGAAGAAGAAGCCTGCCTTTTTATTAAAAGGCTTCTGTTTGTAAAACCAAAGGTTTGTCCCAAATATGACTTTTGCAGTTTAGAAGTTTGTAAGCAATATGTCAATGCCGAGGAATCTTCACACTATTTGTTTAAATATCAGAGTTTGCAATTAGGAATTTTATCCTATATAATCACTTTTCTCAGGAAGACCATTCTCTTTCTCTGCCAATTCAAATTCTTTGCAGCTGAGGCATGCTTTACCTGGCACAGCTGAGGCACAGCCATTACCTGGATGGAGTGTTCAGTTCAGTGACCAAATTCTCTTCCTGTCTGAAGCTTTACAGACAACCAATGAATAGTATTTAGGAATTTTTTAAAAAGGAAGTGGAGTCTAACATTTTTATATTTTGTTGGGATTTTGTTGTTACTGTAAAAAAAGTGACTGAGATATATAAAAAGGAAACCAACTGATGGTTCAGATTTATTGTGTTGTGTGTTCACAACAGTTTAATACAATAAAACCTGAAGCTCTTAGATTTTCCTTTGGGGTTAATACTAACACCACACACATTCTCTGGGAGTCCAGCTCCCATCCATTGGTCATATCCTGGTTTGGAGACTTGGGAGGGTAATAAGTATATAAAACATGTCTCTTGCTTGCCGGCTACCACATGTTAGTAATAATAGTAGTTATAATTCACTGGAATATGGGTTTTTAGATTTTACTTGGTTTGTTTAATTGAAAGGAATAAAAAAATCTTGAGAAGAAACAGCCAGCATTACATAAATGAAAAAAATTACACCCTTTCAGAACTGAACTATTCCTTTAATTTGTTTGCACCTTCTGCCCCTCAGTTGAATTTGCTGTTTTAGCGGGAGGTGAAGGGCTGAGCACAAGGGGATGGTAACATTAGGTTATTTTAAAGTAAGCTTCTCAGCCTTGGCACTGTTGAAATGTTGGCCTGGATAATTCTTTCTCGTCAGGACTGTCCGATGCATTGTAGGATGTTTAGCAACATCTCTGGTCTTCACTCACTATATACCAGTAGTGTCCCTCAACCCCCAACTATTATGACAATTGTCTCCAGACTTTGCCAAATGTCCCTTGGGGGACAAAGTGCCCCCAGTTGAGTAATGCTGGTTTAAAGTAAGACAACAACTTTCAAAGCTTTCTTTATTTACCCATTTCATCTAACCTGAAAGTAGCAGGACTGTGATTTTTTTAAGCTAGGAGCAAGAAGTGATTTAGAGTTTTAAATTGCTTTCAGCCACACCTCTTTTTTCTGGGCTTTGCGGGTGAATCATGATTCAGTTTTATGCTTCAGAGGTTTATACATGCACTTAGAAACACATAGAACTGTTCTTATATCCAAGTTGTCACATGGATAGTTATTTCTTGATAATTCTTTCAGTTGGAAGTAGCTCCAGTGATTGATGGCCTCAGTAAGTTCACATCTTAATAACCTCAGATGGAGTTTGACCCTTTGTATCATTTTCTTCTTTTGCTGGAAGTCTTTTATAGCTCAGTGGTCTTGGGGATTCATTGGAGAAATTGAATGTTTGAGTTCAGATAATTTGATTTCTATTTCCAAATAATCCTGTTATCTGATGCTTTCTAAAAGCAGAAAAGGAATTAAGGGGGAAAATAAACATGCACGGATTTGATATTTTGTTTATTTTCCAGTAAGCTTTAGTTAAAAGGAAAAGAAAAGAATTGTACAGTTCTTTTCAAATGATATACACAATGGGATTGGCAGCAGTTGGCCAGTTGATTTGTCAGAGTTAACCTTTCACATTTTTTAGTTAATACTGGGTATGTTGGGGTGTGGGAAATGTATAGGTAACTCTAGAACACTGGTTCTCCGTCTTGGTTATGATTAGAATTAACCTGGAAGTGGTGGAGCCCAGGCATCAGTGCTGGGTCTCCACTGCTCCTTATTCCAGTAAAGCTGTATTGGAATACAGCCATACCCAGTTATTTACCAATTGTCTGGAGATCCTGTGGCTTACAAATCATAAAAATATTTACTGTTTAGCCATTTACCAAAAAAGTTTGCTGACCCCTGTTGTAGACTCACAGTGAATATTTTTCAAATATTTTCAAAAAGGGGCTTTATACAAAATTCATGGTAAGAGGGGGAAAATCCAGCATTTTGCAGAACCTGCAGGCTCAAATCCTGTCAGTTTTCTTGTATACAGGGAAAATTGAAAAGCATTTTCCTTGAAGATACTGTCATACCAGGAGGAGGTATGACTAACTCAGTACCCAGAGTGGGGAGTCTCCACTATTTATGTTACGACACTTTGCCAGCACTTGTCTATTCATTCAGTATTCATTACTTAGACTGTGTAATTGACTTGAGGGAAGGCTGTAGAGGCAGAAATGGCTTTTTCACGCAAAGTCTTTGAGTTTATTACTGCTGCAACAATTCTAGATGGCGGCAGACCCCTGAAAAAATCCTTTAGCTGTAGGGGATCTCATGTATGAAAAGAATAATGAAAAATTTAAATTTAAAAAATTTAAAACAATGTTTAGTTCAGGTGGAAAATTGATCATTGTTAACAGTTGGTCAAAAGAGTTTTTTAGAAGGTCCTCCTTTGGGCATAGGCCCCTAAAGGCGCTAAGTATGAGATAAGATTATTTATTCCAGTCCCTTGTTACCAAAGTGAGATTATTGAACCAGCAGAATCAGCATCTCCTGGAAGTGTGTCACACTCTGAGACCCCCACCCCAGACAGGCTGAATCAGAATCCACTTTTTAACAGGATCCCCAGGCTGTTCATATGCATATTAAGAGCGCACTGCACTGGGAAGCACAGGTCTGATTGATAACTGGATCTATGCAGTAAAAACATCGTTGATCCCTCTTTAATGATTTCACAGCTCCTTAATGGCTCTCCTGACTTGGGCTCACTCATTAAGGCAGCCAATTTTTCCCCTTTGGCTGTTTCCAAGCATAACTTGCTTGCCTTCTTATTTAGTAAAGATTTATATGATGGTAGAAAATGAAAATTGGGTGATTGAGCTAGAAGAGATACTATTTCATATGCTTCAGAAAAATAAACTAGAAAGGCTAAAGAGAACTTGCCAGATAAAGTTTACTTGAAAGGTAATAATAAAGTGGAATGGAGTCTTCCTTGCTTCTGCAAGAAGAAATAATTCATTCATCAGAGCATATATTTGCACTGGGGAATGGTTGGGAGGGTCAAAAATGAACCCATTGAACATCTCAAATTAGCACATACAAATCAAGGAATGCGCTTCTCTACCAAACAGTGGCATAATATTCAAAGTACATTTCTGCCTATATTATTTGGGAAATTGTCCAAAATTTGGATGTTCATAGACAATCTTGAGGAAGTCCAGTATCTAATTTTACCCTGCCATGCTCTGTCAAGTTAGTATTATTTTCTTTATCAGGTAAGTGGCTTTCTAGAAGTTTGATTGAAAAATGTGATTTCGAAATTATTCCTTAATTCTTGAACAGAATTGGTGTATCCTAAACATTCGTTTTGATTGGCTTTTTTGGGTAAAGTTAATACCATCTAAATTTAATATTTTTAAAGCAGTATAAATAAAGTCTAGATGTTTTCTTTTCTGTAAAGGTGTAATGTGTTTTATGTTCAGTGTTTGTACCAGGGTCTGTGCAAGAAACAACAATTCTAAGTGTTCGTGGAAGTGGCTAGGAAAATGGAAATGGTGTCCCCTTCTAAGCCTGCAGATCCTATCTCCTTAGCTTTGAATGAGAGATCTAGAAGCTATGTGAACTGCTCCTTACATAAAAGCTGCCCTATGGTCCCAAAGGTCTGATTGTCAGAAAAAATGCATGACTGCTGCATGTCAGCTGCTCACTGCTGACAGTGTGTGCTTCCTTCTGCCTTCCCTTTGTCTTCCAGCTCTCAGTCCATGTCCTATTAGCAGAATTCAGATCACCTCCAGAACCCTGGTGACAGGAGTCTGGGAAGCAGAGATACCAGATTTTCGTCCCTTGTTACAAGGAAAAGCATAGAAGGGGTGTGGGAATGGATTCTGAGTGACAAAATCCAGGACAGCATCATGCTAATGACAACAGCTTATTCTAATATGGTATTCACATGTCGTTTTAAAAAAAATATTCTCTATATGAACACCATAAGGGTTATAACTAATGCAAGATGCCAGTTTTAAACAGGAAGAAATGTGAAGTTATATAACTTGCTGTTCCTCAAACAAGCTAGTCAGTGTTACAGTGGATTGTGTTGGCTCCTAAACTGCACTCTCTCGTCTTTCCTGCCCTTTTCTCTTTAGTACTTGTGAATCAAGCATCACATGACCAGATGGAATTTTAAGGGTGCCTTATCAGGGACCCCAAGCTTGAAAAGGCAACCCGTGATGCACAGTTCTAGTGTTTTCAGGGTCAGTACACTGAAAGGCGTATTCATGGTTGAGGATACTTCCAACTTAATAGGCTATTCCCTTCATTTAAAGAATTAGGTAATTCTTGTAATGATTGTAAAATGCAACCTTGGTTTCAATATATTCTTTCTTTTTTCTTAAGCAAATGAAAACCGTGGAGAATCGCCATGCAATGAGTTCCCAGTACAGGATGCATTCTTACTACCCGCCTCCCTCTTACCTGGGCCAGAGCGTGTCCCAGATCTTCACCTTTGAGGACGGCCCTTCTTACTCAGAAGCCAAAGCGAGTGGTAAGTGTCTGGTTGCACAGACTGGATTGGGGTGGAGAGAGGATGAGTATCCAGCACTGGGTGTCTGACTCTCTAAGGGTTTACCAGTTAGGAGTTGTTGGAAAGTTTATTGTGTGACTCTTAATATTTATGGTATTTTGTTATACAATGATTTTGCTTTAGTAGATTCTTGATATCATGTTTCTTTTTTCTGAATACTCGGAGCAACAAGAAATAAGACCAGATACTCTCATTAGAAGCTAAAAATGTGTTTTCTAGAGGATCGCAATGAAATATAGGGGCACTTTAAATGTGGTGTGAGTCTTGATATTTTTGCTAAAGTGAATTTCTGTATATTGAGTACTCATTTCCCAAAACTTTTCCATTTTAAATTTGAAGGTGTATTTATCTTTTGGGGGAAGAAATAAAATAACATAATAAAACATTTTTGAGTACAATAGATCTGAGAGTTTATGTAGTAGCATTGCAAATAACTGATATGATGGCTTTAAAATAAAAAATGATTGTTTAATGAACCAAAGCACTTTGAAATACACAATTGCTCACTTCAATTTTAACCTTCTCCTCAACATTTACACCATCATGATAGACAAGCCTTTTATGGTGCTATGTTTCCAGGCCCTCTTTTCCAGTTCTTTATATTTAAGCATCATCTTTTGAACTAGGAAAGTGAGAAACATATACAATTAAGGCAGTAAGTAGAAATCAGGGTAATAGTGAATGACTTGGTAGAGAAACTTACTACTAGAACTTACCCTGTACTAAACGTTTATTTTTTCAATAGCTTGACTTTCTACAAAGTCAATAGCTTGACTTTCTACAAAGAACTTGCTTCTTTGTAAAGTTAGTGCTTTGAGAATGAGAATCAGAACCAAGCTTTGATTTCCAAATTCAGAACAGTGAAGTCTGAAAAAGCCGGGCAAGTTATGCTTTATTTATCATACTAAAATAAAATAAGAGATTTCATTAATAGGGAATATATAGATCAAGAGAACTGATCAGTTCGAACTGCAGAAAGACTGAAATACACATTGTTGATTGTACTTTTTTACTAATTATTTTTTGTCAGGAGTGGACAACACAACTCTGTATTATAAATATTTATACCATATAATATATGCCCATATAGTCTTTCTTTCATACTGCCTTTGATTCTATATATTTATCTGGATCGTAAGCTCCTTAAGGACAGAACACATTTTATATACCTTTTCATCTGTTATGATGTCTTTTATTTGATATTGAGTGAATTAATGAACAAATAAATGAATATATGAATCAGGTATTATTTTTAAGTAGCTTGTTCTGTAAGGAAACATAATCCTGAAAGGTCAAAATCCTTATTGTTTCATGTACAATTTAGAGATGAAGCAGTTAAAGAAATGTTTGTTCATACAGAAAATTTAGCAATGAAATCTACTTTCAGGAAGAAATTGCCTGAGCTTCTTTCTCCAGGAATAATGTAATATTTTTTAGAAGCACTGGCATTCTTGAGTCAAAGGTGTAAATTTGGAGGAAGACAATAAGACAAAAAGATAAGAGGAAATTTATTAGAGCAGAGGAGAATGAATTTGGAGCGGAGCAGCAGGCATTTGAATTTATGACAGAAAAGAAAGAGACTCAGAAGGCAAGAGGTTACAGTCCAGTAAAGAGACCAGCTGTACCAGCGTTCATAGGGAAAGGCCAAGAATAACACCTAGAATTTCTCACATCTTTTCTGGTGATATGTATATTTGAAAGTGTGGTGTGAAGAAGCCCCAGATTTAACTTTCCAGTACCCCTCACTCACTAATAATTAATCAAGAGGGTCAAGCTTCGAACATGACAGAGTTAGCTAGGAAGCACTACAGTGAAATTGCAGTATTACCTACTTTGGAATTGTCATGGAGACAGAGAATATGAATTAATAGAAAATCCAAATCTCAGCTAATTTTTTTTTTAAAGAAATGTGGCTTTATGAGTTTCAAATGTATGGTATTATGGGCTCTAGATTGTATGAAATTTTTATAGTGCTGGTGGGAAGGGAAGAGTAAAGAGAAAGTTGTGTTTGGATGTCCACAAGGACACCCCACGTGTCATCTCTTGGGGCATTGGATCCTCAGTTTTATCATCAGCCTAGATATAAGTAGAGAGCTCTTCGGGGACAAGTTAGGACCTTAAGTGGGGCTGAGGCTAGTGGCAGGGTGTTGTGGGTGGGGTTGGGGACATCAGTATATTCATTTGTGAGAGGTGGCAAAGGCTGGCTGATAACCGGTTACATTTATCAGTTCTGTCAAGTTCGAGTTGAGATCCTTGGGTTGGTTGTGTTAATAAATAAGTTATGATTTGTAAGTAAGGACTTGCCAAGATTACTCTAAGTAAGGACTTTTAAGTAATTCAAAAAACTGTTTTCAGTAGCTTTAATGTTTTCTTTAAAGTATAAATTTGTCCATTTATTCAGTTTCATTAAAGAGAAGCTTAACCTCTCTTTATGATCTGAAGATGTGAGTCCAAGTTCAATGTTTTCCTCTGATTTTGCTGAAGATTGAAACATAGAAATAGAATATAGGGGGGAAAAGAATTACAGGAAGAGTTTTTCTTTTGCCATGTTGCTGTTTGTTTTTGTTTTGTTTTTGTAAAAAGGCTAGGAGCCATTTTTTGTCCTTTTTATATCCTGAAAAGCATTAGGAAGTAAATCAAAGAGATGGCAGGGCCCAGTCAAGTAAGACTTTGTAAACTATTGCAAGTACTTTGGCCTTTATTTCAAGTGAACTGGGAAGCCATTGGAGAGCTTCCAGTGAAGGTGCTGCATGTCTGCCTTGTGTCTTTTAAAGATCACTCTGGTGACTATTTAAGAATAGACTGTAGGGATGCAAAGTAGAAGCGTGGAGACCAGCTAAAAAGCTACTGCAGTAATTCTTGCAAAAGATGGTAATGGCTTTGTCAGGGTGGAAGTATGGTAGTGATAATAAGTGGTTGAATTCTAGATTTGTTTTGAAACCAACATGATTTGCTGATGGATTTGGAATGTGTCAGGAAGGGAGGAGTAAAGGATAATTCCATAGCTTCTCACCTGACCAGGTAGAATATTGGAATTTCCCTTTATTGAGGTAAAGAAGACCATATGAAAAACAGGTTTGTAGGGATTAGGAGTTTAATTTTGCACTTACTAAATTTGAGATGTTCACGAGTCATCCAAGCAGATTGTGAAGTAGGAATTCGATGTATGAAGTCTGAAATTGAGAGGAGAGGTGTCTGCTAGAAATAAGAACTTGAGAGGTCAGTTCATAGTTGTTATTTGAAGTCAATATGATGATATTCCCCTAGAGAAGTGAGTGTAGATGAGAAGAACAAAGGACAAAGGCTTGAGTCCTGGGACCCTCCAGTGTTAAGAGCTCTGCTAGATGAGGACCAGCAAAGGAGAGCGTAATAAGGAGCAGCCTGTGAGGTAGGAGGAAAACTAAGGGTAAATGGTATTTTGGAAGCCAAGAAAAGAAAGTATTTCAATGAAAGGAGTCAAATAATGCTGGTCAAATGAGATGAGGACTGAAATTGACCATGGGCCGCTCCGAGGTAGAAATGATTGATGACCTTGATGAATAGCCACTTTGGTAGGGAGGAGGTACATGGGAGAAAAACATTGGGGCAGCTCTTTAAGGAGTTTTGCTGTAAGAGGGGACAGCTCTTTAAGGAGTTTTGCTGTAAGAGGGGTAGTGAAATAGGGCACTAACTAAAGAAAGAGTTGAGTTCAAGTAATGTCCTTTTCTCTTTTTTTAGAGAAGGAAGATATTATAATAGGTTTGTGTGCTGATGTGAGTGATCCAATAGAAGGAAAATTAGTTTGTGCAAGGTGTGTGTCGGGGCACAGCTGTTAGGGACAGTGGCAGTGGCTCTGGGCAAGCAAGGTGGGATAGGATCTAAGGCAGTGGTTCTCTGAGTGGGGGCCACAGGCTGGCGTGGGTCTGCGGATGCTCTGTTACTGGTCTAAGAGGAGGTAAATAGAAAAATTAAGAGTAAATAAAAACTTGTAGCAGCTTGACACAGCAATTTTATGTCTGTTGAATCTAATAAAAAAATTGGGTCTTGTATTTTTTGTCTTCATCTTTCTAGCAATTTATTATTTTATTGAAGTAAGATACACCTAACAAAATTAACTAGTAACCATTTTAAAGTGCGAAATTCAGTGGCATTTAGTATAATCACAATGTTTGCCAACCATTACCTCTTTCTAGTCCCAAGGCATTTTCATTACCCCAAGAGGAAACCGCATGTCCATTAAACAGTCACTCCTGTTTTCCCTCTCCCGGCTCCTGGTAACCATGAATCTGCTTTCTCTCTCAGTGGATTTGTCTATTCTGGATTTTCATGTAAATGGAATCATACAATCTGTGGCCTTTTGTGACTGGCTGCTTTTACTGAGCATAATATTTTCAAGGTTCATACAAGTTTTAGCATCTATCAGGACATCATTTCTTTTTATGGCCTAATAAGATTCCAAAAAATACCACATTTTTTAAATTTATTCATTAATAAATAATGAATATTTATTGATGGACATATTTATTGTTCACCTTTTGGCTATTTGGGTAGCATTGCTGTGAATATTCTTGTATACATCTTTGAATACCTGTTTTCAGTTTTCATGGGCATATATCTGGGAATAGAATTCCTGGACCATATGGTAATTGCATTTAACTTTTTGAGGAACTGCCCAACTGTTTTCTACAGTGGCTGTACTGTTTTACATTCCCACCACGGAGTATAAGGGTTCCAGTTTCTCTTGCCAACACTTGTTATTTTCCATTTTTTAAATTATGATTCTGGTAATTCATTGTTATTGTATTTTGTAAAACTATCAGACCATGGTATATTGGAAACTGAAAAAAAATTTAAAACAAAACTGATTCCTCCACACAGATAGTTTGAGAAACACTGACCTAGTTCCCAAGTGAGGGTTGGCTTATGTAAGAATGTGGACAGTTCATAGTAACAGATACAAGTTGTTCAGGAAGTGGTGTTAG